CGGAAGACCCACACCAGCCATCGTATGCCGGCCGTGAAAGCCTTCGACAATATATTGTGATTGATCTGCATTAAAATTTGCTTGTCTGTTCCAGTCTTAATTAAACTGTTAGTTCAATCAGACACATTTAGAGTCTCTGAAGTGCATGAAATATCCCTACATACATTTGTGCACAGTATTTACAGTATCTTAAATAATCTTCTGAGGAAAAAAGTATATTTTTCTAGTGCAAGTTAAAACAGTATAAATACAGTTTTATACTACAGAAATAGTATTAAAAAATAAACTACAAAGTTAGTAGCACAACCTTGGTACAAATCAAACAAATGTCATGACATTTACATAATCAAACCACTAAAACATTTCTACACCAAATCTTACAAAGCAATTCCTTAATAGATCCATCTGAACTCTATGCAAGTAAAAGAGAACTGAGCTGTGTATTTCAGATAGCTGAAATTACTTTAACGTAAGTTCTTCTTTTATATCTTCATAGTATCATATTTACTTACTCATTCATATCTCATATTATTTATGATAACCCCATTTTCTAGTACCAAAAATCTTTGTCAATGTATATTTTTCTGAGGCATAGATACACTAGTAAACTGATATTCCCAATATCTGGAATATTTGTGTAATGTCTTCTTCAACAACTTTTCTGTGACTTCCTAGAAGCCTGACTACCTAGAACTGTAAACAAGGACTTATGGCTGCAAGGCTCCTCATTTTATGGTCCTTTGTGACAGATACATATGCCCTATAATAGAAAGTAGAATAAGGATGACCATGAAAGCATATTTAAGGCAGAGTGTGTGTGGATTGGATACCTGAAATTGAGGTCAGAATTTAAAATATTTCCACCATTCTTTCAGTAGAATAGGGCAGTGTTAGAGTGTTAGATTAGGAGCAGGAAAACTCCAGTTTCCATTTTGGTTTGGTTTTTAATTTTGTTGTGCACCATGGAAAGCATTATCTAGAGATTATCAAAATAGTGCAGAAGATCAGCCAGGCAATGGAGCTTTCGATTTAGATGAGATCAGTATTAGAAAGCAAGATGTCTGAAAAACAGCTTGCCTACTATTTCTTATTTCCCACGCAGTGTGCAGCCATAAAGTAGTGATAGTTATGCAACAGATAATATTCTTAATTTGAAGAGGAAGTGGCAACATTCAGTCTTACAGCCATATATATCCTCCAGTTTAATTTTATGTATCCATCAGCTTAATATTAAAAGTCTCCTGCAAGTAATAAATTTTGACCTCTGGCAGAGTAATCTGTCTTTTGTCTGATGGAGTGGAATTGAGTAGTGTAAGGAGAGAAAAGGAAGAGGTGGTACTTGAAAACAGAAAGGGCAATACTATCTGCTTATGGCATTTGTTCCCAAATATTAACCCCTGATGAAGTAAGGCCCAGAACAACAATAACAAAAAAGGTTCACTAAGACCTATAATGCTGGAAAAGGTAGGTGAGAAGAGAAAAAGAAGAAGACCAGCAGCAAGGTTGATGGACTTGATTGCAACAGTGATGGGTGCATTGTTGAAAGACCTGAAGGACTAGGTTGGGGACAGATCATTCTGGAGAAAAATCTATCTATGTGGCTGCTAAGAGTTAACACCAACTTGATGGCACGTCATCACCATTACCATCACCATCATCGTCAGCTTAGGAAAAAGAGATACAACTGCCATCACAAAACGAGTGCACATTTTAGAAATCACTTCAGATTCTTTACTCTTTATTTATTTATTTATTTATTTATATTTTTTTAATTTATATTTCAAATTTGTCACCGCCCATCTCACTGCAGAGTGACTCTGGGCAGTTCACAGTAAAAACAGATAGATATTGATGTAATCTGCAAGTTGTTTGAGAACTTTATGCCAAGGTATAGACAAATAGAAAAGATACCTTTCACAGCTCTGTGACAGTGACTGTTGCTTCTCCAGTACTGCGTGCTCCTACATTGTAAAGAAGAAATAATTATTTAAACCAAAATGTGTTGGTATTGGTATTGGTGTATATTCTTTTTCACTTCATAAACAAACCAAGCCGTATTTTGAGCACTAGATTTCAATAGTTTAGAATTAAGTATTGGCCTGGTTTATGCCAACAGCCCAAATTATCTTTTGGAGCAGAATTTCTCTAAGCAAATTACTAGATACATCAGGCTGCTTTCCCATTGAGAATTGTCAAGTACTGCTTGATACAAAATGTTAGGTGGTGCTATCTGGAGAATCGGGTTTCAGCTACAGGCTAACAAAACCACAGCCCTTTTCTTAGGCATGAGTGTCTGTATACTGTAGTGCATGTATCATTGCTACCTGGGGAAACTGAAACTTAATGCAAGTAAACAAAAGTAAGGAGTAAGAAAAGATGTGGAAAGAAAAAGAATACAAGAATGAAAAATTTGAATGATTTCAAAGAACTCAAGTTCAGAGATAGTGAAGTAAACAGAAGATAAGATAAAGTGAGCTTAGAGGATGCTACCCATGAAACTGGAATACAGCTCTTTTAACTCGGTTAGTGAGTTTTCTTACAGTTAGTAGCACTTGAAAACACATACCACCTCTTGAGGAGGTTCTGTGGCTAGTGGGACAACTGGGCACAGAGTTGGAACCTGCTGGCCAGGAAGCTGGTGATTGTCTGACTGAGACTGCAGGTAAGCGGAACACTGAAGGGGCAGTCCGTGATCTGCCGGCATTGCTGAATTAGCGGTGCCAAGAGTGATACGTGAAAGTCCATCTGAACCAATACCGGGCAGCATTGCTTCAGGCTGCAATTGCAATGGCGGTGATGTAACTGCAGAAGCCTGCACTGGCAATGCAGGTATCTGGGTTCCAATATCCACAGCATACTGAGGATGTCCAATAATCTGTTCAAAAAAGCAAATGCCTGTGATTAGTCTAAATTCTGGTAAGGACTCACTGGCTAAATCAACATTATTAAAAATAGGTCCTTGTTATACTGCAAGGAAACCATATGGAAGGAAAGAAGGGAGGAAATCAGGCTATGTATACAAACTGTGATTTCATGGATGTATGAAATGCAACCAAGTGGAATTTACTCACCACAGCAACTATCCATTATTAGGATCTGAAAATTTTTATCTCATTGTTACAAGTTAGTACCTTATAATTAATGTGTACATAATTAAATTGGCATAACAAGTTCGTAGACATTTACAGTTTACAATATGAAGCAGCTGCTATGAACCAAAATACATGGCTGTATATTTAAATACATGCTTAAATATCAGTTTGGTTAAACTGAACTGAAGTAACTACTTGTTAGATAATATAAATAACCAATTTATATAAAGGTTATACCTGAGAATATTGGTTGCCCAAGAGAATAAAGTATAGTTACATTTCAAGCCATTATTTCAGTAAATTGGGATTAATATTTAAATCAGACTGAGGAAATGTGGATTGTAGACCTTTTATGCAACTGCATCTGCCACACCCAAAGGACTAATAATATCATTCATACCTTCACAGAATGCCGGAAACTCCTTAAGCAGTCTGCCTCTTGGATGTGGCTTTTATGTAAAATGGATAGCTATTAGAGGGTACTTCAAATGTTTAACTGAGACCGAACAGAGCAACCCAGTGCCATCTATTTCACAAATACTATTGTGGATTATGTCAAGGTATTATCTGTACAATTAAACTTCAAATTAAACTAATCTTTCAGGCCTATCTGTATTAGTTTTTTGCATATATTCTTGTCATTTTGCCATAAAAATTATATATACCAAAGCATCTATAGGGGTACTTTTTTACAAAAATGATGTTGTCTAGAACATTAGAAACTCATGAGCATATCATTATGGAGATTTTTATCCTTGCTCAAAGAATCTATAATTACTAAGTCAAGCTTTACCTGAAAAGGAAACTGAAGAAGAGATGGGATATAGAAACAAACAGAGAAGGCAACAGCAGCAAAGGAAAACATAGAAGAAAAAGAAAATTTTAGTACTATTAATGCTACATATAAATGATTATTGTGCATATATTATATGTCAGGGCCAGTTCTGGTTGCAGTGGGATATAAATGCACGCTCTCTCTCTCATCTTACCAACTGTTATACCACATAAGGGAAATATGAAAAACATCTAATGCCTTTGTTTTATATGATTCCAGCAAATATCCATGATTTTTGTTGTATATGAACAACTAATAGGAGCCATCAGTATAAGTGAAATAGAGACAGGCTGATTTTCCTTATTCTTCATCTTTTTTGGCAAGATATAAAGGATCTGTATAGGTTTTTATAAAGCCTCCAGATCTCATCTGATAACAAATCTTACAGTCTGAATCAAAACTGATACAGGTACATCAGTATAAGATATCTGAAATACTTAAAGAGCCACACTGGATGGGACAATTAATTTTGAAGCCAATGGGAATAATATCATTGGTTCAATGGAGGTTAGGTTAGGACCAGATGGACACAAATTCTTCACAAACAATTTTTATGTACCAAATAT